ATTAGAACGAATCCTCATGTAAAATTTCATGCCGCCGACTCCAGATGCGACCCAAACCACCAGACCAGTGAGCACCCAGCCAAGGCCCATACTCCAACAGCCGTCTTCCCCCAAGATCTTTCGTCAGCCTGCACCTTCGCCGCTCTAATCTTCCTCATCTTATGATTACCCGCCAAAGGAGGCTCAGGCGTACTGAGATTCTTCTTGGCGGCCTCTTGTGCTTCCGCCCGCTCTCGAATTTCAGCGATCTTCTTCCCCAAAGCCAGCAAGTCTTCCTTGAACTCGGTGGCATTGCCAACACTGTCGACTTCTACATTCTGGACGTTGCCGAAGAAATCCATCACCAATCGCTCTCTTCCTCCTCGTTCGCCTCCTGGGAATAGATCCCATCTTACGCCGGGTTGAGAGTGTATTTTAGACTCGTCGTAGCTGTCGAATAGGTCTGCTAGCGTTTGTTTGCTGCTTGGTTCTCGGACGTGTGTTTCGAGGAAATCGAGGTTGTAGTATGTGTATCGATCGATGACAGCAACTCCTACGTCGTTGTCTGCGTGGTGGGAGTAGGAGGATTGATCGATCTCCGAGGACCCAGTGGCGATGATGTTGGGAGAGTAGAATTTGCTGTACATGGTGTTTGCTTGGCAGGTATCGATCATAAAGAGAAGCTCGTGGTATCTGTACGTGTTAGTCGAGCTCAGGTATCAACAAATAGTTTCTTACCTCTTCTTCTCCCACATCTGCTCGAAAGCATCTGCCAAGTCAAAAGCACTAATTTCCTCCGCATCCTGGAATTTCAAGAACTCGTTCCCTCCATGCCCAGTCATGTAGACCAAGATATTACTTCGATCGTCCGTCAACAGCCTCTTACTCATCGGCATCTCCTCTCCCACTCTATCCGTTAACAGTCGAATGAAATTCTCCACCGTGACCTCGTATCCTCGATAATCCACCTCGATATTATCACCGTACAAATCCACCGCCCTGTCCGCATTACTGTATACCGTCCCAGGGAACGCGTTTCGAGGATTGCATGCCATGTCGTCGGGCAACATCAAAATTATCTGCGAGTCTGGAATGCCTAGTCGCTTGACCGTTCGATATAGTGATAAGACATTGGCAAGGTGTCTATAATTGAACCAGAATCGCGAAGTTGAAACTAGGACTGCCCAATTGCTCGTATGTTCTGCGGTAACTGCGACTGGGGCTAGCAATGAAGCCAGTACCGCAGGCAAGCGGAGGAGATTCAACAACTTCATTCCTGTGAATGTTGCTTCCCGTAGAGTTTCGTCACCGGGCCATGTGGTGGAAGTTATTGTACGGAGTATTTGTAGAACCCTCCCGCTCCCTTAAGTTCGTGTGACAAATCGACCGTCTGGTGGATCCGAGCGAGCCTTCAAGGGGTCCGTTTCACTGCAGCCTCATATCTGAGGACCCAGGCACGGAGGCAAGGCAATAACATCAAAATCCCGGGCCGGAGAGCGCCGATGGCCCGATATGCGCCGAACCCACTCCGGTCGGCGCAGAATGACGCGAATAGGAATAATGTGCCCCGTCAGTGGTACATGAAAGTGAAAACGTGCTCCTCAAGTCTCCACCAAATCGACTGCCCCGCTTAGAGCCTAAACTCAACCCTACCCCCCATCAATAACCTCAGCCTGACATCAACAACCTGACATCAACAACTTCTCCTCAACCACAACCTTCGAAATACCACGGGGTCAGGCAAGAAAATCGCAGGAGAATCGCAGGAGAATCGCAGCATGCTAACGTAATGGGTTGGCCTCCAGCTGTTGTCATCGTGGTCAGGCAAGTCTGCGTTTCTTGCATCTCTTTGTCTTTCTCTTCGCCTTCTGAGATCCGCGGAAATTTATATCCGTATATACCTTCCACACAAGACGATCTTCAAGACATCCTTCGACTGAGGCAATAAACTGACCATCTCATAGGCACGGATCACGTCTTGACGCCGCAGATAAACAATGGCATCTCACATCTCCCACGCCATATGACCCTCCACTTACGTACGGTGGCTGGTCGCAATCCAAATTGCTAGGACAGCGCATCGCGAACATCCTTCGAACTCGAGAGACCGATGATGAGATAGCACCATTAGATGATGCAGAGGGTCAGACTGGAGGCGACAGAAGAAAGCGCAGGCATAAGGTCATCGTCCATACTTCGCCATTTTTGCGATGTGTTCAAACCTCGATTGGAATCAGCGCGGGGCTAGCTCAGAACCCTGGCCATACTGTCCAGCCGCGACCTCGATCTTCTCACTCAATTGGGAAGGCGATGCACTCCTCGCCCCTAGTTCGGCCTACAATCGTGACCGGATCTCCTTCCTTAGCCCCTATTCCGGAGCCGGCATATCCGAATGGCAGAGATCAAGCGAAGATCAAGAAATCTACTATTCGAGTCGATGCTTTCCTGGGAGAGTGGTTGACGCCAGACTATTTTGAATTGATTACTCCTCCTCCCAGCTCTATAATGATGGTAGCTGGAGCCAAAGCAGATTTACTTCGACGGGAAGACTATTCAAGCCTCCCAAATTTCAAGGAATCTACTCCAGGAGGACATCAGAAACCATTTCCTGGAGGTTGGGGCAGTCCTATCGTCCCCGCAGAGAAAGACAAAGACGAGACTCCCCTGTCAAATCTATCTGCTCTAGGACAGGCATTACATCGGCGGGATAGAACCAGTAGTTTGAGCAGTGTAGGCACGAATGGTAGTCATCACAGCCATAGGAGCAATACTCCGTTGCCAGTCGCCGGAGAACATGGGGTATATCGTCCGCCAGTTCCAAATTATGCCATTTCGCTAGCCGAACCCGTCCCACCTGGATATATCACTCATGCTCGAGATGCTTGTGTTGATGTTGACTACCAGTGGGACAGCATGAGAGAGCCTCAGAATTGGGGGAACGGTGGCGAGTATGGAGAAGAATGGAGTGCTATGCACAAGAGATTCCGAAAGGGTTTGCAACACAAGGTAAACTGGTATCAGAATGATGATGATCCAGCAAGACTCTTGAAAAAGTCCCCCTCTAGCCCAATTAGCAGCGGTTTCCCAGTGGCTAGTGGTGAGGATGATGAAGACACCGACTTGGTCCTGATTCTCGTTACACATGGTGCTGGTTGTAACGCATTGATTGGAGCTTTGACAAATCAGCCTGTGCTATTAGATGTGGGGATGGCATCGCTCACCATGGCGGTTCGCAAGCCTACTCCTGCAAATACTCCAACCACCACAACTCCTGGAGCAACGCCCAAATCTCAGTCCCCAAGATCATCAAAACACATCAATATTTCTGATCAATACGAGGTCAAACTCATTGCAAACACAGAACATCTCCGTTCAAATAGTTCAACTCCAACCCCAACAATTTCAAGGACGCCTTCTATTGCTAGCGGAGTCTTCCGGGAAAACGGATCCTTCCGAGAAAGATTTGGTAGCCAACCTGGATCTACTGAAAGTCGCCCAATCCCATCTAGCAACTTCGGCAGTATGCGACGTACAGCAAGCGCTGCGTCATCAGCTCCCCGCTCCTACACACCTGCAAGGCAGCCCTCGATGGGTCTATGGAGCGCAGCGCCGCCAGAAGAAGAAAAAACGGAAGAGTCTGAGGATGGCATGATAATCAATTTTGGAACCGACGGCGGGACGGAAACTTTGAAAGGAAGTTCTTTAGAGCACACTTCGCCCCTTGTGATTGAAACAAAGGCATATCACGAGGATATCCCTGAGCATCATGAGGAAGATGAGGTTGCTCCGCTGGGACTTTGGGGCAGTCCGGGACCCCCTGGAATAGCCGAGAAGCAGAGGGAAACTGCTCCAAAGCGGAGATGGACTGTGAATGAACGATGATTCAGGGGGGCGTTTTACAATTCCCTATGGATGGATAGACCGCCAACAAAACAGAGTTGAGTCCATGAACTTCATGACCAGGTCTAGTATAGCATTCAATGAAACGCAGCGTTGGAGTTTGGCGAAGGGATTATAGACTAAGAAAATTAAATTCAGATAAGGAGCGCATTTATTATATGGAGATGTGGAGAGCATCCACTCTAGAACAAGGCGGAAAATGTTATATTCTACTCCATCGACAGCCGTGGTTTCTCTTTGGTGCCTGCCTTAAGTAAGATATCCAGCTCTCCTATTCATACTTATTGGTAACCTCTCGTCCTGTTCTATGCCAAAATGCTTGGTACACATCCATATAAAGCTCACTAGCCCGCGCCACCACTCGTACGTACTTAGGTCAAGTTCTTGTTGTGGAAGAATCTAGGCCCCTGAACCCCCCACTCCCCAAGAACCTAGCTAAGCTACATGCTCGTGGTTATTTCAAAAGCCCTAGGCTAACTTCTTGAATATGGTTCAGGCGTATCATCAACTATGTGGTTCGAACAAGAGCTCCCTCGCACAACTTAGCAGAGCGGGGGCGTGTACGGGAAAGCACTCCCATTGACATCTTTGCTGCCTGCCTGCTTTGGAATATCTAGAAACACTCACGGTGAGTGACCACCTCATCTCCCTAACTCGCGTGGGTTCTCGTGGCAGTATATCCGCAACCTGGCCTCGCCTCGTTTTCTATTCCACTGTGCCCAAATACTTGGCAAGAAACACCGGAGTCCGCATCGAACTTTTCAACCGAAGGATTGTATCCGAGTAACATTCTGTGAGGGTTTACACCCTGGTTTGGATTTGGGTGGAATTACGTGACCTGTCCATGCATTTCGCCTAGCTAAAGAGACTCTCTCCCTCTCCCTCTCTTTCCTTCTTCCTTGGTTTTCCCTTCTTGAATCGGACCTGCTTCTCAAAGTTCTTTAACCCGGAGTGAACCCGTGACACATCCATCCCAAAAAGAAAAAAGGAAGCTTCGGAATCTCGTTTATGGGTTGTAGATCCTAGCCTCCGACTCATTCTCCTCTCCTAACTCAACCACCTCTCTTTCATAATGTGATCCCAAATCCTCTAAATCCTTTGGCAAAAAAACCGCTGTATAATGCGCTAGCCGTGAATCGAACACGGAGCCAATCCAAGCTGTAGACCTATATGAATCATTCTATGGCAAGGATCGATTTTACCATTAAACCACTAGCGCAATCAGATGCTGATTGGATGGGAGCGTCAATGCTATATAAAAATATGAAGGGTGCAATCTTGTGGGTCGTTGCCAGTAAGAATTTGCTGGAAGTGGGGGTTCGTTAAGCGAAATGGAAGGGAGCCGAGTTACAGGTAATAATATAGGATAACTCATGAAAACAGAGCGTCTGTCTATATGCCTTAGTGATAGGATTGCTTAATTGATAGAAACTAAGTATTAAATGGCCGATCTTATACGCCATTAGAAGGGCTTAAGGAGTAGGGCGCTATACAGCGCCAGATCGAATAATTCTTTATCATACATACATAGCGAGGGAGAGGAGACGAGATGGGAGGGACTAAGAATCGAAAATTCAAATCTCCCAAACTGAATAAAAGTAATTGTAATAGTGCCGCCGACACATATTCAACCTTCATTCTATCCCAACCCATCGTCCTCTTCAATCCCGACTCTCTCAATGGGGTGGGTCTTTGCAAAATTCCTTTTATGAGGAATAGTAGAATGCTTCCCTCTGCCAAAGCTCCCGTGGTACTGTACTTGGAGTGAATAAACAATTGAGTTCCTCTTCGTTTGCTTCCTCTTCCACTTCTCACGATTGAGAGCGAATGAGTCGGGATCAGAGGGTCTCTCTTCTATTTTCCCACGGATATTATAGATCAAAGACATTCACTTTAGATTGAATAATGTTGTGGTGTTCTTCCACCGTGTAAATATTATTCACCCGCCGTAACAGAAGGCTACCACTTTTCATAGGGTCAAATATTTGAGGTTTGTAAATCTCGGGTTTGCTTTTGAGAGATGCCGAGATGGGATGGGGTTGAATATCTAAGCGAGGGGGAGGGGGACGAGAGACTTATGAAGGAAGGTACCTCCCCTGATTCTGCAAATTAGCGAGCAGCGGACCTTCCCTCGTGTTGATCAAAGGGTTGGTTACTTGTTTGAGCGAGATTTTTCGCTTCCTGCTAGTGTCATGCATGTGTTGGACAGAGGTGATATCTACTTAGCCGCTGTACACTCGTAGAGATGAGGGTTGGTGGAAGTAAGTAACGAAAGACAGGATTGAACGGAGCCACTAAACAGCCCATTTGTTGGTTGCTGTACGAAGGTACGGCGGTTTAGTTTATAGGAGGGCTCTCGCACATGCGTGACACTAGCAGCAAGCGAGAAATCCAGCTTAAATAGGTAACCGCTTGACTATAACGAGGAAAGCTCCAGCTGCTATCTAGTTTGCAGAACAGGGTCCGTTAACCACTGTCCGTATACTCCTGTTGCCGCAACAGTATAAATTTTATTCTCCTCGAAGCACCTTTGCCAACCACCTTCACTTAGATTCCACGTCCTCCATCAATCTCCAAGCACGTACCGGTAATGAACTTAGCCTCATCGGTCGCCAAGAATAGACAGTAATTCGATACATCCGTAGGGTTCGTCAGGCGTCCAAGAGGGACGTTGGACAGGAACTTCTTGAAATTCTCTTCTGTTGGTGGGACGCCTACGAAGGTCTCAAACCTAGACTATGTATTAGGAAGGTTACTTGAATGAATACTGGAGAATTTACAGGCCGGTTGCGCTCAAGAGCGGACAGATTGCATTGACGCGGATTTGCTTGTCACCGTACTCGGCAGCGAGGCCTTTTGTGCTCTGCGAGAATTATTAATTGGTTGCTTGTGCTAAAAGATAAGGGAGATACATACGTTTGTCACAGCCGCTTTGCTAGCATTGTACCAAACCAAGCCCGGACGAGGTCGAGTTGCTCCTATAGATGCAATATTGATAATCGAGCCGCCATCTCCTTGATTGATGAGATTCGGGATAACATGGCGAGTGCAGTGGAAGATGCTCTTGACATTAACAGCAAAGACTTTATCGAATTCATCCTCGATAACCTCAGCGGTCGGCTATTCATCGTTAGCGAAAATCCCAAGCCCTACTCCTCATATCACAATTCCACTCAGACCCAGTTTCATAACAACATACCTTATTCTGATAACTCGTCCCCGCATTATTAACACAAACATCAAGCCTCCCAAACTTCGCCAACGTATTCTCCACACATACCTCCCAATCCTCCTCCTTCGCCACATTCATCTTAATAAAATGCATATTATGCGAATTAAACGACGCCACTCTTTTCCCGCCAACAGGGTCCATGTCCGCGACGATTACTTTGCAGCCTTCAGCAGAGAAACGTTTGGAGATAGCCTCCCCGAATCCTGAGCCGCCGCCTGTCACGATGGCTACTTTGCCCTGGAGGCGATTGCCGAGGGATTTGTTTGAGGGAGCGGAGGTTGACATTTTGGCAATTTTGTTGGATGTGGAGATGAGTTGGGGGGAGTTTAATTTTTTGGAAAGAGGAATGGAGTTTTGGTCGGTTTGGCCGAGGTTTCTGAATAGTAGGTTTCCACAATCGAGCGAGTAGTGAGAATGTCATAGAAGGGGAGTTTCCTAGCAACTACGAAATCCATAGGAGAAAGAAGTCCGGTCTAGAAGTTTCTATACTGAACGATATGTAAGGCAAGGTGAAATTTATAATCTCTAGCCATTCATTAAATTGTGTCACCAGTCACAACCTCGAGGAGAGGGGTAAGTGATTTACATCACGTGGGTCGGAATTGTCTCCGCGACTTAGGGCCCGCCCGGTATTTGAAGTTGGGTATTTAGAGTTTGGATTCGCTAGATATTCGAATTCAAATACTAGTAGTTAGATAATAGCCCCTAAATAACTGGCTTTCAAATGTACTAGGACAGGAATCCTTAAAAAAAGTTTTCTAAATACTAGTATTTGGATTATTTCAAATCCTAATTTTTGTCGAAGACTAGAAAAGAGACTACGATCCCCCTCACCATTTTTTCGGCTATTGCTCGTCCTAGATGCTATCGACATTGATTGTCCCTGCACGTAGAGCAAATACCTATACTTTTATAAACTCCAGACAATCGTTCCTCAGTATGCCTAGCCATGAGGACCTTGATTGCCAATGCCAACAGAGACAAGGCTTTTTTTCTTCATCGATGGAAATAATTTACATCACATCTTTGGAAATACAAAACGAAATTGTTGCAGCTCTCGCTCATATAAGCCGCCTCGACAATGTAAGACAAGACGGAAACCTGAAAACTCGATATGCTAGCAATAGGCAATATGAATGTGCCAGACCTAGGTCTCGCAAGGATTACAGCCAGCATCGAAATGTGCAAGGTGTCTAATGACGAAGAGAGCCGGCTTTGCAATGAAGTGCATTGAAAGATCAGGTAAATTCTCCGATTCCTAGCAATGAACTACCGCTACGAGCCCTTTGCCAAAGCCCATACTGGTGCACATGATTAGATCCTATAATCATCAACCACAGGACAACCAAAGGACAACGGAGGAACAACCTGCAATACTTGACGAAATCGGAACAAATGGTCCTGGAGGGATTGAAGGAGCCCACGAAGCTTGGAGAGAAAAGGAAACGAGAATGACTTTCGTGACATCGTGCGTCACACCAGATTGTCCAGCCGGCACCTCTACTTCACTTCTAAGATTCACCACAATGGCTCGAGGTTCTACTAAGCCATCCCGACGATATTAATGTTCAGGTACCCTGCCCTGTATTTCTCGAATAAGTCGAACTGGACACGAACTTTCCATACCCCGCAGATTCGGTAGACTATTTTAGCCGCATCCATTAGGCACTCAGGGTATGTTTCATCATTGTTACCTTACTTCCGTCAACCTTGATTTTGAATTGTCAAAACCTGCTGTGTGGTGGTATCTTTCTTTCGGCCAAGTCTTGAAGAGTATAGTGCCAAGTAAAGACGCGAATCCTCCGCCTTTAGATTGCGCCACAAGCGCCTTGTCATCTGTCGAAACTGAAGCTAACTCGAGATGGTCCTATCAACCACACAAGCTTTTGACCGATAAGAGACAGAAAATTCCAATCTACTATAGCGGCGTCTAGCGGGTTCTGCTACTGACAACGTGCTTCCGTACTGTACTACATGATCAAATCTGCAAGGCGATCACTCGAAGCTCTTTTGTGTCAACCTGGCCCTGGCATCCGATGGCTAAAAGGCCCTGTGGTGGATTTGGCCAATAAAAGCCCTCGAATTGTAATCTCTCGAGGATTCTTCCGACTCCAGATTTCATATCGCTCTACACTCTGCTACTCGGTGTAGTCTGAAAGTGTTCATAGAGCCTCTTACACAGGGACGGAGCGTACTGCTTCCCCTTTCTTTCCAATCTTTCCAAGTCTGTCATCTAGCTTGAGCTTGAAGTTCGAAGGGCTTGACGGAGGTTCGCGACATGGTGATTGATGATGGGTGTGGCACTTTGACTGCAGTCTCCCGAATGATCCCAACCACCCTGTGAAGTCGTGCAGGTCTGTTGATGATGCTGACTGGCCTCGCGTAGTAGCCATGGCCATGCGGTAGAAACCCGGTTCTGCAAGGCCGCATGGGGGTAGTCCCGACAATCATCGTAAATTTACTTGCGACTTGCCGGCGTGCCGCTTGATAAAAGAGGTTTTCCTGCTTCGCGACCCATCGGTATCGGTGACTTGTCGACCGTCGTCGTTACGCTCGTTTGTAGCCGATGGGAGCCAAGTCGAGAGTCGGAATCGTCACTCCTCTTCGACGATCTTCTTCCCTTCGACGATCTCCTTCTCTTCTAAGCGCTCTCAGCTTTGCATCTGATCTCCTCTCCTCCTCTCCATCAACCTTCGTTACCCGCCGACGCTCGCTCGCTCGCCACTCCCCTCGTTCGCGCAAGATCTGCTCTCTAATGTTGGTGGTCATTTCCATACATACCCAGGCCAGGTCCAGCGAAAGCCGGAACATCTCCTGTTTCGCTTGAACATGTCGTGCTGACAAGGAATCCTCGCCGCAGCAGAATAATAATAACCTTCGTTGTTGTTTCGGACCTTTTATGTTTTCGACTCTCCGGCCCAAAGTCCGTTCGTTCCCTTCCTTAGCGTGCGAAGTCTCGCCTCGCCTCGTCCCGCCTAGTCTAGCGT